TTTGTAAGTGACTATACTAACTTCTATGTAGTTCAATGTTATAATATGTAATAATTGCTTTAATGATCTTATGCCACATTTTCTTTGATACCTATATTAAGAATGAGCTGGACATAATCAGCTTGAATTTAAAACCATGCAAGAGAGATAGATAAAAACCATGTAGGAAATGTCAACTGACAATCTTAGAGGGGAAAAATGTAGCTTATGTTATGGACAAGGGGAAATTGTTGTATTAGAGAGTTTGAAAATTCAAATACCACTACCTCAAAATTAGAGAATGACATACAGCCTGGTCACCAAAAGGAAGGTTTTACTAAAACCACAAATAGATGAGACGATCAGTAGTAGAATTATTGTTTAGCAAAGTCTTTAACATATTTCTATTATTTTGTGGATTTTTAAAGAAGTTAAAAATTAAAGGAAGATTAGATATTAAATGTATGAGGATTGGCCTTTCTTAGATTTAAAATTCCCAGCACAAACACATATACAATTCTTTCTCTACAATGTAGTAGGGCAATGAGTAATAGGACTATTAGATATCTGATGCAGATGTTTAAAAAACCTTCTTACTAATTGCAATGAAAAAATGTGTGTGACTTTTTAATTGCAAAAACTCCATGAGACTTTCCCCTCCAGTATATCAGTTGCCTCTTGGAAGTGCCCTATATACTAACTCTACTGCTTAACTTAATTTGTATTCACCTTAATTTCTGTTCACCTGCCTTACCTTGCTCATCTGAAAACAAGTGATAAAACCAACTGCTTTCCAAAGGTATTCTTTAAAAAATAGTTGTATTGAATTTTAAGTAAGACCTCACATGAATCAAATAGTTTGATTATAATTGAGGGTTATGCAATTATCACCACTGTCAACGTTGGAACATTTTCTCCCTTCTTGTTCTCATTGCTGTTGACGCTCCATTTCCCCCACCTGCCCTTCTGTGCCCACACGAAATTATTATTTCAGTTACTGTCTTCATAGAGCCTGGCTTCCCCATAGAGAAAAAACATAATAACAATAAAACAAGGATAAAAAACAAGAAAGGCAGGTAGGTAGGTAGGAAGGAAGGAAGAGAAAGAAAGCCCAGCGACAATGATCATATGAAACAGTGAAAGACCTCAACCTAAGAGAAAGCAGACATTAAACATTTAGGATAAATTGAAAGTGGGCCCAAAGGGAGATCTAATGGCAAGGTGTTACCCTCCAGTCAAAGTCCAGCTGCTAAGAACCTCTTTACAATGCTCTTTGTCTGAGATTGGGGCTGTTCATATCCCAAGCCTGTGGACAATGAGGATTCACCAAGGATTCAATCCACACAGGGACCTCTCAATGGATTTTGAGTTTTCACTATCATCCATTGTGTTCCTCAAACTGGGTGTTCAGAATTTAGGCACTGGTCCTCTTCTCTCCTCCGAGTTTGGATCTATTGTTTAAAGTCCTTGGATCATACAGGCTGGTGTGCTTCTTCTGTGTGGACTTAGCTAACCCCTGAATTAGATGGCTACTTGCTCTGAGACAAGCTATTTGTCAATTTTTTCCTGATTGCTGGTCACGATCTGACTTCTTTGCCACACTTTACTGTGGCAACCATATCTTTAGTGATCTTATGAGGGTGCATACTGTACAGGGACCTGTCATAAGAACTAATTGTTCTTTTATTAGGGCTATGATCAAGCGAGAGCTCAAAATCCATCCATATAACTATGGTTTCCATAGGTTCCTGGTTCACTTTTGGAGAAATCTTGAGCATTTTATTGAATTACATCATAGATTATCCTCATGGAGTTTAAGATAACTCT